CCAGGGAAGAAAAACCACAGCGAGGGTTTGAAACATCCTGAGACTCACCACGGTCTGTGGAGACGCCTGAGACAGATGAGATCCACTCTTCACTCTTTTCTTTGATGAAGCGCCTTAAACACAGGACCAGATACAACCCCCCCACCCCCACCCCCACGCCCACCCCCACCCCAGGTTCAGACTTAAAACCTCCACCCAGCTCCGAGTCTTGAGACCAGAGTCGTTCATCATTCATCACTTCAGACTCCAGCAGTCCCTGACACCTGTGAGATTCACAAGAACAGAAAAGTCACTGATCCAGGTTTGGTGAGAGGACACAAAGACCTCCTCCCCCTTTTCCTGAAACCCTGTCAGACCGTCTGAGACCTCCGTGGCGTGAGGGAGGGGGGGCGCGCAGGTCTGAGTCTGCCGGGGTTAATGAAGGGACGGGACTTCAGGATACAGGAACTCTGAACCTTCATCTGGTCTCCATCTGCATTTAGAGAAGGTGAACCCTATACACGTCACCTGTTGACAAAGAAAGACGCTGATTGGACGCTGTGTATAAACCAGAGAACACAGACTCTCTTTTCTTTTATCATTTTGTCTTTTTCCTGTCTGTGTTGATTCCTACATTACCCATAATGCCTCTGCATCAGACGGCGGCAGAGGCTCAGGTGTCAGGTGGACGTGCTCGTAGAGAAACGGCATCGTCGGCCTCGAGGTTCAGGAGCAGCGTTAATGAGACTAATTAGTCTGATGTTTGTGAATCATCCAGCTGTTTCTGCTGCAGCCTCACTTCCTGAATTTCAACATAAAAGTCTGATGTTTTTACGCCTCGCCAACATTTTTATATTTGTGCCAAAAAGACGTGTTTATGAAAACGTTCCCGCACATTAAACGTGTTCCCTGAAGGTCTCATGGATCCTGGTCCAGATGAGACCAGTGAAGTCCTCCAGTGTGTGAGAGAAGAAGAAGAAGAAGAAGAGTCACATCAGTTATTGATACTTTGTGTTTTTAACCAAACTTATTTAACATCTGTCAGCAGTGTATAAACATTTAATAAATGTATTTAAATTCAAACACATGACAGGTAACAGCTGTTCAGAAACATCAACTTTAAAAAGTAAAATGTAGGACTTCAAATGCAAAAACTTTCAAAATAAAAGCAAAAAAAAAATTCTTTCAGATATTTAGATATTTGACAAGTCTTTCTTTTATTATGTCAAACATGAATAACAGCTAAATTGTTTATAACACAATAATGTAGTTGTAGACAATTATAGTTTCTATGATTCCAGCTGTTTCACTAACAAACATGAATAGAAACCAATAGAAACCAGTTACAGATGAACACGCTGCTTCTAAATGTTAAATAAGGGGTTAAAATAATCTCCTCCCTCAGACAGCTGATGAACACACTGAGGCTGCAGCTCTTCACACTTCCTGTTCTCAGTCACATCTGTCCACATGTTGGTATCAGCTGCCTCTCACATCAGCTCGTCCTCTTAGATTTCCTCTCTGCTCCTCTGTGCTGTGTGAGCTGTACGGTGGCCCTGAGAGCTCAAAACACAAACGACTTCACAGAACATGAAGATGAGCCCTCAGGGCCACCGTAGGTTCTCCTGTTCGCAGCAGAAGCTCGTGGCTGCAGCTCCACTGATGATGATGATGATGATGATGATGATGATGTTGTTGTTCTTTGTAAGATTCTTGTTTTTATCTCTGTGCTGACAAATCTCTCTCTCCTCCTTTACAATCATTTTACAGCTGCTCATAAAAGTTCCGTTCATTCCTCAGCTGTTCATTTATTCATTCATTCATTCATTCATTCATTCATTCATCACAACTGATCAGAAAATGAATCTGCAGCTGTTCAGGTCGTTGTTTACACAAACACTGATTATTTTCTGGACTGTTGTTCAGACACAACAAACTTCTGATGTGATCAACTCGAGCGACAGGAAGTTGCTGTTCTTGTTTTGATTTTATTTTTTACTGTTTTCAACAATAACGATTCATTGATTAATCTAAAAATTTAATTGGCAGATTAACTCACAGTGAAAATAATCGTTAACGTTACAAAGAAGGACTTCCTGTGACGTCGTCTGGTCCTGGAGCGCAGAGGTTTTTCCAGTAACAGGTAGAAATGCTCACCTGGTCTTCGCCCTCCAGGTCCTGGTCTAGAGGACTGTCAGTCCTGATGAGTCTCTTTTTGGTCCCAACACCCGAACTGACGGGTGCTGTCATGAACATCCAGGGGGTGTCGGACTCTCTTATTAACCTGGGTGTTGTTGGGAATGTTACCCACAATGCATCTGTCTTCAGGCTGATGAACCATGGGACGTTTAGACCGTAGTGAGCCTCCCGAGTGGTGGGAGGGAGGGAGAGGGGGGGGGTGACACCAGAGTCAGGGTGGATCTTCAGCCTCCATGATGTGGACATGAGTAGTTGTCTGTTCAGGAGCCGACACGCCGTTCGTATTTTACAGAAAAACATTGATCTGTAGAGAGTGTGTGTGTGTGTGAGTGTGTGTGTGTGTGTGTGTGTGTGAGTGTGTGTGTGTGCTGTCGATCAGCCCCTGTTCGGAGCAGTGTTGTTTTTGCATGCTTATATAGCTCAGTGTAAATCGATGTGAGTTGCATGTCCGTGTAGTTTTCAGTTGTTCGGCTGGTTCTGTCTGTCGTGGCTTTGGGTGCCTTTCATTTGGTTTCTCTCTCCTTTTTGTTCCCTGTTATATTTTGTACTGAGTGTCCCAGAGGCTGGGAGCATTTTTGAGTTATTGAGCAAAAAAATAAAATTAAAAAAACAACAAAAAAATCCTCCTACAAACAGAACAGGAGCAGTTATCATCAGGTCGAACAGCAGGAACCTGTGAAGAGGTCGTGTTCTGTTTTTGGGCGGATTGTCCCTTTAAGAGTCAAGAGTGCCAACTACAGATGCCAGTGTTGTACAGCAGTGAAAAGCTCACACTATTTACTAAAATAAACCATTTCTCTGTTTTTTTTCACCGGTGAGTCTCAGTTATTTCAGTTTTCACCAGCACACACGTCCACAGCTGCAACGGTCACTCGACTGTTATTAATCTGCAAATATTTGAATAATCCAAGAATCATTTTAGGACATTTTTAAGCATAAATCTCAAACATTCTCTAGTTCCAGTTTCTTGTGTCAGAATTTGATGCTTTTCTTTGTCGTATATCTCAGTAAACTGAACATAGACGAGAGCAGAATAGAATAGAAAAACTTTATTATACAAAATATACAATGAAATTAGGAGCACTGCTGCTGCAAACAGAAAACAGGTTAAGACAGACGAAAGAATAATAAAATACAAGAATATTGCAGTTAAAATATGATAAATACTTTCAAAGAATAGAAAAGTGATTTGCTGAGTAAGATATTAATACAGTGAATATTGCTGTTAAAATAATATAATATAGTGATCCGTTAAAATAGGTCAGCAGATGACAAGATGACATCGTCTGAAGAAACCCCCTCTGATTGGAGGAGAAAATAATCACTGTCCTTGTGGAGGTAGAAGTATATTCAGCAGGTTTGGTGATTAATTAAAAAATAAATTTTATACAGTTCTTTGGTTGAGAGTAAAATAAAATGGAAAGTAAGAAAAAGAAAGATGTAATACATAAAAGCCAGTTATTAGGAAAAGTGTTCAGCAGCTAACAATTAAAATTAAATAATGATATTAATAATAATGATAACCTCAGTTTATAAGTGACTGGATGATTAGATTAAACAGATAATCAATTTAATTGAAATAAATACAAGTAAACAGTGCAGCTCCAGCTGTCGTGATCCTGCTCTGTAGATATAAAAACTGATCTCAGTACAGAGAAACTGTTGTAAGTAGATAGATAGATAGATAGATAGATAGATAGATAGATAGATAGATAGATAGATAGATAGATAGATAGATAGATAGATAGATAGATGGATAGATAGATAGATAGATAGATTATAGATAGATAGATAGATAGATAGATACTAATATAATCATTTAAAATATAGTTTTGTAACAGTGCACCAGGTGTCGCTGTCGCTTAGTTTGACAGCGGTTACTCCCACAATGCACCTCTTCATTGGAGACTCCTAAACTCCTTACTCTTCAGCAGGAGCAACACCAGAGCAGACGTTCGGACATGTGACGTCATGTCGTTTGATTGTCTGTAATTCAACTTGACGGGGAGATGAACTAATGAAAGTTGTGTCAGTAAAGTTGTGACACCGCCAGTCAAAGAGGTGGAGAGGCGGAACAGGTTGTGTCAGCGCCATGTTGGAAGTTTGATCCTTCGGTTCATGCAAATGATGATTGGTGCATTCACGGACATTCCGTGAAAGGTGCAGCCCACACTTGTTACGCTATGCGCCTCAGCCCTTCTGATCCTGAACCGGAAACTCGCTCAATAATTGTGAAACTATTAAAAGAAAACAGAAAAAGCTGACATGTAATCATAATAAAGGTTCTTCTGAATGGACCCGAAGACTCCAGGTTCAGTTTTAATTAAGTTACTATCGAAGCGTAGATGACAAACTTCTAATGACGTCATCTTTGCAGAAATGAAACTTCACAGTTTCGTTAGAGAGAAATCCAGTTCAAGGTGGAAACACTCAGTCAAGGTGTTGATTATTTCACTCATCATGTGTCTTGTATTATATAGAAACGTCATATGGACGTTAACGAGGTGAAACACTTGATTTCCAGTTTGAATGGAGTTACTATGTTTAAGATAGAAGGAGATACGAATAAAAAAACGGTGGAATAATAAAGTTTTTGAACCTGAGAAGGACATATATGTATGGGATGCCATTTTAATCAATATTAAATAAATACATACATTAAATGATGAAAACAACTATGAAATAAATCCTGAAATTTAATAGATTAGATAATAAATGTAGAAATGAATAAATAAATGTAAATTGGTCTGACACAGTGAGATAGCCTGATTTGTATATAACTGATGGAAATAAAAAGAGCAGGAAAATAGATGTGGAATGAGGAAATAAAAGTCTCCGTAAATAGATAAATGTGAAATTATAAAATAAAATCCCCCTGAAATTAAATAAAAAGCTATTCATTTAATTATATATTTATTGATTCTTTATTTATTTATTGTCAGATTTACGTTTATTTGTATATTTCTACATTTATTACCTAATCTAATTATTTCAGGATTTATTTCATTGCTGTATTTATTTATTTATTTAATATTGATTAAAATAGCATTCCATAACATAGAGGGATTTCGTTTGCAGCAATCCCACCTAACAAAAAATAAAATTTATTTTTCCTTCCGTTAGTCCCACACTTTGTTGCGCACATGAAAAGTATCGCGATATTTCCTCACGTTGACTCACGACCTCGAGAATCTCGTTGAGTCACGCAAACAGAGATGGCCGCTCCCTGAACGTCCATGTGGCTTCGCAGGCAGAAAAACTCCTCGGTAATTTAACGTTAACTAATTTCACGTGAGTAAAAGGAGCAGCGGACTCTGCGCTGAAGCTGAGAGCGGCTCCGCGAGGACACGAACATGCAGCACGACGACGTAAGTGTCTTAGATTAGCATGTAGCTGCTAACGTGCTCCGGTACGTCGTTAGCTAACTATTTTATATTCTCTTTCCTCTGATGTTCAGCACCAGGACTAATTACTGAACATTAATTATCTTTATTAATTATATCAGGTCAGAAGTTTCATGTTAAAATGTAACTTAAGCAACACGGACAGTTTTTCTTGTTACACCAAACGCCATTTAATAATGTGTTTTTAAGGTTTCCTGGCTCCTCTGTAAATACACAATTATTATGTGTAGACTTATCTTCTTCACCTTCATGTGCTATTTATTAATAATGTATTAACATGTAATACGTAATACAACAGTACAGTGACGTGTGGCCTGAATCTCTGTGTGTGGACAGTTGGTTTATAAGTGTTTTATTCTCCATTAAAAATGAAGTTGAATTCAAAAATAAAAACTTTTCTCACTGAGATATTTTGACCTTTAACAGCAGGGTTGATGTAACTCACATTATTATGTTATTAGTGAAATCTTAACTAAAGATTGTTATCAATTAATCTACCAATTATCTTTCGATGAACAGTTTGATCTATTAAACATCAGAAATCAAAGAACATGTCCATCACTGTGATCTCTATAAATGTTTTGTTTTGTACGACAAATGATGAAAATACAGTTTATTATAATAACACCAAGTAAAACAGTGATGTGTCGACCAATCATTGCATCTTCTAATAATAAACTTTATTTAAATAACACTTTTCTTAACAAGGTTACAAAGTTCTTCACAGAAAAAGGGGAATTAAGAACAAAAGAAAAACAAACGCATCATAAAACACAAGTTACACAAAAATATAAATTGTATCATGGGAAAATAAAACACATGTCAAACATGGGATTAATCAGTCCTTGATATCTTATAACCCACTAATTGCTTCAGCTCTTTGATCAAGTAGATTAGATGAGAAAACAGAATTAATGGATTACTCCAAGAGTTGATCAACAGAAGATAAAGATACAAGACAATTCTGATCATTAATTAATAATCTATAATGATATTTTAAAGAGTCTCTAGTTCCAGAGTCTCAAACATGAAGATGTACAGTACAATACAATAAACTGAATTTGACTCTGAAAACAAACCAAGACATTGATAGTGAGTGTGTTTACATGTGCATCATGGTTATGATTGGCTTGTTGAAATATATCTGTTTTTTGTGTTGCACTGGCAACTATTGATTATTTTCATTATTGATTAATCAACTCATCTGTTTCTGCAGGTGATCTGGGACATTATTGGAAACAGACAGTTCTGCTCCTTCAAAGTCAAGTAAGTGTCGAACTGAGCTCCTCACTCACTCACTCACTCACTCACTCACTCACTCACTCACTCACTCACTCACTCACTCACTCGTTGTATGACAGTTGTCATGTGCAGTAGCTCAGAGTTAGAGAATATCTCGGTGTCTGTGCTGCAGGTCAGGACTGACACAGTTTACCAGACAGACATTTACAAAAACAACCCGTTGGTTTTCATCCGGAAAATTCTGATGGTTCCGACAATTTGGAAGCGGTTCTCTACTGGATCCGGTTCTTGATGCCCTCCATACGTTAGTGGCCACAGTTCACCATCTTGTAATGGCTCTTTCCTCTGTCCAGTAGAAGCTTTGGTAGAACAGAGTCTGAGAGGAACGTTTCAACACGTGGTCGATCCCTGACATGAGGAACTGAGGAACTACCCAGTGTCAGTGAGGTGTTCCTAATAAAGTGCTCACTGACTGTAGAAATCAACCCGTGAAATGTGATAATAATAATTTATTCAGCAGGGAGACCGATTCCATAATTAACCAAAGCTTATTAATTACTCTTTTTGTTGTTTATTAAACCAAGTGATTTGATTTGAGAATTGAAATTCTAGGAGAAAAGGGGAAAATGAAGGAGTTGATTTGGCAAATTTTGTTTGTGGATAAAGAATTTTGCAATTAGAAGGATGAAGTTAATGAGATATTAACTTGGATTCTCATAGTAACAGATGATATGTTTAAAGTTGAAGGAGTAGAGAGAAAAAATGAGACGCCAGATCTCCGAAGCTTCTGGGACACAACCAGATGTTTGCTGTTAGTGATCAGGTCTGTCAGACGATGATGTCAGCGGATGACATCATCCAGGTAACTCTCTCTCTCTCTCTCTCTCTCTCTCTCTCTCTCTCTCTCTCTCTCTGTTCAGGACGAAGAGTCAGAACTTCTGTCGTAATGAATACAACATCACAGGCTTGTGTAACCGCTCGTCGTGTCCGCTGGCCAACAGTCAGTACGCCACCATCAGAGAGGAGAAAGGTGACGCCTGTCAACATCCTGCTCATGTTTTCATGTGGTTTGCTTCATGTGTTCATCAGATGGTTTGTAGAATCACTTCTTCTGAGTGATCCGTGGCTGAAACAGGAGGAGGAAGTGATGTAGTGAATGACGGCTGTGTTTTCTCTGCAGGTCAGTGTTTCCTCTACATGAAGGTGATTGAGAGAGCAGCTTTTCCCGCCAAAATGTGGGAAAAGGTGAGTTTGAACCAATCAACACACAGACACACGGCTGCAGGTCAAAGCTTCAGATGGTCAGAGTGAAGTTCCCTTAAGGAAACTTTAACTCAGACTTTAAGGGAAATCTTAACTTAAGGTGTTTTGATCAACTGTTTTTATCTTAATGAAACTTTAAGTTAGGCTTTGATATAAAAAATGCTGCATAAAACACCTTAAGTTAAGATTTCCTTAAAGTCTCAGAAGGCTGGGAACCTCTACTTCAAACGGTGAATATTAAGTTATAATTGTGTGTGTGTGTGTGTGTGTGTGTGTGTCTGCAGGTGAAGCTCAGTAAGAACTATGAGAAAGCTCTGGAACAGATCGATGAGAACCTGATCTACTGGCCTCGCTTCATCAGACACAAATGTAAACAGAGATTCACCAAGATCACACAGTACCTGATCCGCATGCGCAAACTGGTCCTGAAGAGACAGTGAGTACAGCCGGCACACAGCCGGCACACAGCCGGCACACAGCCGGCACACAGCCGACACACAGCCGACACACAGCCGACACACAGCTGATCCAGAGACATAATCAGCTGTTCTGATAATCGATGGGTTTTGAACTTTTTGTTGAACAAAATAAAACGTTAGAAGACGTCGACGTTGTGTAAGTGACGTTGTTTTCTGATGTTTCAGAGACTAAATGATTAATTGTTTAATCAAGAATAATAATTTGCATATTAATCAATGATGAAACTGATCAATAGCTGTGTGAAGCCTGAGCAGAACAAATGAAGCTCAGGGTGAGAGTCAGTGGACTCTTCAATGTGTGTCTTTTTTTTTGATCTGAAAAAGAGAAACTAGTCCGACAGGTTGAATCAGAAAATCAACATTTTACAAAAACACGTTGTTGTTGTTTATGAACGTGTTTCTGTCGGTATCCAAGAAGTGCAGGAAGTACAGCCCTTCAAAATAAGAGGAGAACAGGAACATATTGATCTTTAGTTTGAGCTTCTCTCATCACGAACCTGGATCAATCCAAACTGTAGCAGCTTGTTGTGGAGACTGAACAGTCACCTGTCAGGTGAAGGTCCAGTGATGTCATCCAGGAAGTCAAACAGGAAGTCCAGGCTGATGTTTGGGACTGACTGTTTAACATCTGTTTTTCTTTGTTCAGGAGGAAGCTGGTTCCTCTGAGCAGGAAGGTGGAGCAGAGAGAGAAGAGGAAAGAGGTGAGTTGACTCCACCTGTTGTTTCCTCGTCACATGATCACACTCGCACTTCTCAGGTGTGCTCACCTGTCGTTCTCCCGCATTGTTGTGTTTGTAGGAGAAAGCTCTGATCGCCGCTCAGCTGGACAACGCCATTGAGAAGGAGCTGCTGGAGAGACTCAAACAGGGAACGGTACGACTCGTTTATTGATCATTAACGAGTCTCTGCCACTAAAACCTGAATCTGTGACTTAATTAAAAGTTTTTCTGTTTTCAGTACGGAGACATCTACAACTTCCCCGTCCACGCCTTCGACAAAGCTCTGGAGCAGCAGGACGACGAGAGCGAGTCCGAGTCTGAGGAAGAGGAGGAGGGGGAGGAAGAGGAGGATGATGAGGTGACGGATGAAACTCGTCACACACAGTATGTGAGTGTGTTGGTTTCCACAGACTCTGACTGGACAGTTTGTGTCTCCTCTGTCTGCAGGACGTCGGGAAGAGAGAGTTTGTAGCAGAAGAAGAAGTGGAAGAGAGCGACCTGAGCGACTTCGAGGTAAATCACCTGTGTGTGTCAGAGGTCAGAGGTCAGAGCAGGTTCAGGTGTCCATAAGACAGTTTTCAGACAAATGTGAAGGACGAAGTCAGCGTCCGCCTCCAGAATATTCTGATGATCACTGAAACATCAAGATCATAATTAACTGAAGATTTTCTGCTTCTGTGTCTGACGTCATAATAAACTGGATCCAGACAAATCAAACACAGACTGTGACTGTTGCACCAGGAACACGCTGCTTGCGTTGCGTGAGCGTGGCGGCTGATGTCGACGTTTCTGACAGAAAACTTCAGTAAAATTCAGACTAGACAGACACATTTTTTATTTAGACAAGTTTTATGTCATGTTGCTGGTATGATGTCACTATGACATCAGCAGGTCTTTTCTCTGTCTGTTTCTGCTGCGTCACACTAAATCTCTAGATCACGTGACGCAGCCTCGAGGCGAGTGTCTCGCTCCAACCTGTTGACATGAAAACCAAGACGCTCCGCAGCTCTCTGAATTCATCCGTTGCACAAAGCAGTTTAGTTCTTGACTGTCTTAAGCCGGACTGTGGCACAATTAATTCTGAGTAAATGAAGACTTTTTTCAAAATAAAAGTTTTAAAAATGGTCGACCGATGAACCTCATCCAACCACTCAGCTTCGTTAGCAAACACAAATTATGCTAATTATGTTATGCCATGTTTTCCTGTTTTTTTGTTGTTGGGTGCTACTGGTCAGCACAGGTGTCACTGATTGTTACCATGGTAACTTTGGTCTTAGACCTGAGTCAGTCTGTGGGTAAGGTGTCAAATGTTTTTCTTAAAATGAGTCAGTCTGAAGACACTGGCAGACTGACATCTCTCTGTGAAAATACTAATAAACTCATCAGTAAATAATTTGAGTCTTAAATGTGAAACCTGCAGAAACTGATACTGTGGTGAACAGTTTTATTGACCCAATGATTAATTGATCAATTTTGAAAATAATTAATAGATATAGATAATTAGTAGTAGCAGCTTTTTTCTATATAAACGTCTGACGTCGCCTCCTGTTGTTTTATAGACGAAAAACAACAGTTTCTTTTTTAAGAAACAAACAAGAAATCTAACGTGACACCTGTTTGAACTTCTCTTCTCTCAGGAAATGAACAATCTGAAGACGAGCAGCGACGAGGAGGAGGAGGAGTCGAGTGAAGAAGAGGAGGAGGACGAGAAGGAGATGGAAATGGAGGTGGAGAAAAAGGCCCCCAGGTCTAAAGGCAAATCTCCGGCTAACGGAGCAGCAGCAAGGAAGAAGCGAGCGTACGTGGAGATCGAGTACGAGCAGGAAACAGAGCCCGCCTCCAAGAGCAGAACCACGTCGTGATGTCAGCTGTCAATCAAACTGTGAGCAGAGACTCTGCCGAGGACACGATCCTCCTCCCACCGTCAACCGAATCCCTCTGGAACACATGCGCTCAGGAGGTGGTTTCCCATCACTCCCTCTGTCTCTGTTCATATTGACAGTGACGTATAAAGTTTTCTTGCAGGATGTGGTCTCAGGTCTCCTGTCGGTCTCTGAACCAACGTCCAGTGAGGACCGGGGTCTGGATTTGAGTCCTTTTCAGTTTTCATCATTTGCAAACGAACTTGTGAATAAATCTATCTGTTAGAAATGTTTCATAACTCTTGAATATTTGTATGTGAAGTCGACGGATGAACGTCACCTTCACTCAGGTGATGAAGTGAATGGAAACATTGACCTTTAATTAAATGACGTGAATCAAAACATTTCAGTTTCATGTGTCTTCATTGTGAACGTGCTTTACTATACTATGTTTTGATGACGTTTTTATGACTTTTTAAATATCTTTCATGCCTTTTTTTTAGGACTTTTTATGCCTTACTATACTATATTTTTTAAACTTTTTATTCCTTACTATACTATGTTGTTTTTATGACTTTTTATGCCTTACTATACGATAACTTTAAAGGTTTTTATTCCTTACTTTTTATGACTTACTATACTGTGGACTTTTTATGCCTTACTGTACTATGACGTTTTTATCACTTTTTATGCCTTACTATACTATGACGTTTTTATCACTTTTTATGCCTTACTATACTATGACTTTTTATGCCTTACTATATTATGTAGTTTTTTTTTACCTTTTATGCCTTACTATACTATGAAGTTTTTCTGACTTTTTATGCCTTACTATACTATGACGTTTTTATGACTTTTTATGCCTTACCATACTATGATGTTTTTATGACTTTTTATGCCTTACTATACTGCAGACTTTTTATGCCTTACTATACTATGACTTTTTATGCCTTACTACACTATGTCGTTTTTATGACATTTTATGCCTTACTATACTATGACTTTTTATGCCTTACTATACTATGATGTTTTTATCACTTTATATGCCTTACTATACTATGACTTTATATGCCTTACTATACTATGACTTTTTATGCCTTACTATACTATGATGTTTTTATGACTTTTTATGCCATACTATACTATGACGTTTTTTTGACTTTTTATGCCTTACTATACTGAGGACGTTTTATTCCTTACTGTACTATGACTTTTTATGCCTAACTATACTATGACGTTTTTATGACTTTTTATGCCTAACTATACTATGATGTTTCATGCCTAACTGTGCTATGACGTTTTTATGACTTTTTATGCCATACTATGACATTTTATGGCTTATTATACTATGACGTTTATATGACTTTTTATGCCTTACTATACTATGACGTTTTTATCACTTTTTATGCCTTACTACACTATGTCGTTTTTATGACTTTTTATGCCTTACTATACTATGATGTTTTTGTATCTTTATATGCCTTACTATACTATGACTTTTTATGCCTTACTATACTATGACTTTTTATGCCTTACTATACTATGATGTTTTTATGACTTTTTATGCCATACTATACTATGACGTTTTTTTGACTTTTTATGCCTTACTATACTATGACGTTTTTATGACTTTTTATGCCTAACTATACTATGATGTTTCATGCCTTACTGTGCTATGACGTTTTTATGACTTTTTATGCCATACTATGACATTTTATGCCTTATTATACTATGACGTTTATATGACTTTTTATGCCTTAGCATACTATGACGTTTTTATCACTTTTTATGCCTTACTAT